GAGAGAGAGAGAGAGAGAGACACACACACACACTTGGGAATGAATAAGTGAATATCTGGATTCTTAACAGACATTTTAAAAAATGTCTCTGGCATTGAATAGGCGTTCAATTTTTTTTCTGAACAGTGTGTAAATGCAGTGTATAAATGCAGTCGTTTGTAACCCACAGTATGGCGGTAGCGGGGCCGCATCACGGAGCATTTCTGTGGTCGGACCACCACATCGAGTTCCACCACACGGTGGCCCCGTCCTCCTGTCGAGGCAGCTGCTCTCTCCAGTCTCCAACCTCGCTGCACAGTGCACACGCACCGCCGTTCCTCCAGCTCTGTGCTGCCCGCTGCGAAGATGGTTGGCGGCGCGTGCGCTCGCAGGCTGGCCCGCCGGTCTCGCTCTGCCCTCATCGTAGCCCTCACGGTGCTGCTGGTGCAGACGCTGATCGTGTGGAACTTCAGCAGCCTCGACTCCGGTGAAGACAGCCGGGGAGACGGAGGCTCCAACGCGCGGGAGAAGAGGGACCGGGTAGCGGGCAACAAAGCCGCTGGCAGCGACTATTTCCAGCATGGGGCGCAGCGGCAGCGGCGGCAGCATCCTGCGCCGCCTGAAAGAGGGACCTCTCGTCACATACAGCAGCCGGTGAGACACACGTTATCTTTCCGAGGTGGACAATCAGTGTAGCCGCGGTAGACGCTGCTGGTTTGGTTCCCTTTTCCTCCAGCGTAGAAGCGCACGACAGGGCCTCAAACTGCACGTTTATTATTTGTTGTCTTGAACGTAGACAACACGGGAGGCAAATAACGGCATGCCTGCAGTCACACACACACGTGTGGCCTCTTGGCTCCTCTGATGCTGAGGACAGGAGGCACATCACTCTACTCCCGACTGGAAATGGAAATGCCAAAGTCGTGGATGAAATGTGTTGGCCAGTGTCACTCCAGGCAACAATGACGGCATGGGATCACCAATCCTTTCCTACTGTAGGGCTGTTAGCTGAGAAAATGGCAAACAACACGGCCATTCTGCCGAAAAATTCACGTCATGAAATATTTTTCCTCTTCATCACCCTTTTTCAGTCGATTTGGAAGACTGCACAAATGAATCAATACGCTCACAAACCACAACTTTTCAATCATGTATGATATACAAGAAGTCTGTAACTGTGCATCTTCAAAATAGTAATGATCACTTTTAAATGCTATTGCCGGAGAGGTGTTGATCTATCGGTTTGTTTATTGGTTGTAGTTTGTAATGCTGTAAAAGCGAACGATCTATTTGTCCCCTCTCATAAAAAAAAAAAAAATTGAAGAACACCACTCATCTGTTTGAGAACTGCGACCTCACACCGTGTTAAGAAACATTGTTCACCCTTAAACCCTGAACCTTGGCAATATTATATTTTAAGGCGTGTGCCACAGCTTTTGCATTGGCATCTATTAGGTAGTGCAGGAGCCAAATAGTATGGCCAGTGAGTTGTGAAAACAATTCTCAATATGATCGTGGAACCGGCGAAAACCTAAACGTGTATGGAACAATTACATCCAGCACAAGAAAAGCTGTTTCGACTTCTTTTGCCAATGAAAATAAACAAATCATACTAATATTTGCACGTACCAATACACTGAGCTGACTGAGCCCGTGTGCCCTGGAGCTTGCACAGTGAGCAACTTTGTGTTTGAGCGGCACTTCCGCTCAGCATCTTGTTCATTTTTACAGCCTAGTGGCTGGCATTAAATCCTGGAAAATTGAACTTCTCTTTCACATGGTCTCACAAGACATTAGGCTGCCCTAAAGAAATTAGACGCAGTTGTGTCAGGTACTCACGCAGCTTTTTCCCTTCATAAAACTGCCAGCCGTTTAGCGGAAGCCTGCTCTTCAGACTGCGTGTAACCTGTAGACCACTGGGACGGGTTATGATAAACTGTGGCCTTCACACACAGTCACTTCCTCCGAGCCATGCGCTGTATCATCTGTCTCCTCCGTAGACTTTACTTCTTGTGGTGGCAATGTTCCTCCCACCTGCCGGCATCTTAATAATAAAAAGTCATGCCGTGGACGCCTTGCTTATCTCTAAGGAAATAACATTGATATGTTCTGAGTGACTTTAGGCCTAGTTTTAACTTGGATATGTCTGTGTGTATAAATAAATAAATAAAAGATGCATTCTGCTTTCATGGCGAACGACCTGGGTTGTGCAGGCCATCCGGTATTGAAATATCGGATGGCCAAAAAAAAAAAAACAAATCTTTCATCTCCGTTTTTGAATTTATTTTTTTTTATTTTTGTCTATCTTCCATTGCGGGTGGTGTGTCAGAGTTGGGATGTTTGAGAAAGCAGAGTTGTTGAGGCATTAAGGTTGATGCATTCGCCACAAATGAAGCTTCGTGAAGCACGATAGCTCATAGAAAGGACGGCAGCACTTCTCATCCGCAGTCGAAGGAGCCAGAAGCTACAATATGGCAATAGCTGGATGTGGATGTGGCAACTTGTGCTGGATGGACATGATATATTGGATATGTGATTCCAGCTAGGAGGAGCCAAACTTCTCATTAGTGGTTGTTTCATTTTGTGGTAAGTGAAGCAGAGTGCGTGGAGACATTCTCTCCTCTCAGTCCAATCCGTTCTTTTACAATGTGTATGTTTTCTCAAATTCTTTCCCCTTGTACATTGGTTACCCTTTGCCGATTCGGATGAGACCCTCTGTTGTAATACCCTGTATCAGTTCAAAACAATCACATTATTGTCATTATTCAGACGTTTACCGAGTCAGATTTTGTGGTAGACATGAGTAAATGTTAGTCTGCCAGATTCGAACCAATCCGCTTTCAGCGGGAGGCAGAGGAAATTTCTTCAGGCTTCACATCTGGTCGTCAGCTTTTTTTTTTTTCCCCCCTTTTGCCATTACATACAGTCAGGATGTTTCCAGTGGATGTTCATGTTCTAAATCGTTCCCCTGTTAGTCATTGTAAAGTGACATTACCTTTTCGTTGTATGTTTGTTCCATTTCCATTACGGCGCACAAATTATTCACCAATCTTTCCCATGGTAATATTGGAAAAGGTGGGACTCCATGTCCTCTTTCCCTGTGTTGTCTCCACATGTATTCATGATCGTTTGAATACATGTGAAAGCACATATGAAACATAATGTTATTACAATGACCATGTGCCAAGAAATATTACAAAAGTACGCTATGATTTGTTTCATTAAGTGATTAGAAACAACAAATCTTGATTCTGAAGAAGTGGTAATCGATTGCCTCGTGTCACGAACAGCAAAAGAAAATCAGAGGACAGGAACTGATGAAGAAATTAAACTGTCTGAAAATGAGAAAGGGCGGCCCAGGCGTTAGAGCGTTGACCTCACAGTGCAGAGGTCTTGGGTTCAATCCCGACTCCGGCCTTCCTGTGGGGAGTTTGCATATTCTCCCCGGGCCTGCGTGGGTTTTCTCCGCGTATTCCGGTTTCCCTCCCACATTCCAAAAACATGCATGACAGGCTGATTGGACACTCTAAATTGTCCCTAGGTGTGAGTGTGAGCGTGGACCGTTGTTTGTCTCTGGGTGTGATGCGTTTGACTGGCAACCGGTTCAGGGTGTCCCCTGCCTACTGCCCGAAGACGGCTGGGACAGGCTCCAGCACCCCCCGCGACCCTTGTGAGGATAAGCAGATTAGTATATGGATGGATGGATGGATATATATATATATATATATATATATATATGTATGAGAGAAAGGCCCTTTTCTGTTCCACCATGTGTCACAATGCACGCTGCTTGGTCAATAAAGGCTTGGATGGAGACTTTTGCCATCCTGACCTCCACTTCATTAATTAGAGCAGAGATAATCAATGACCTGCGACTTCAATTCTTTCCTGGATTGTTGCCAGTGTCAGGATCTGTAGGTAAATAACATCGGAATGTTTTGCACTATTATCAATTCATAACACTTAACAGCTGGAATGTCATTTCATCTCTCATGATATGCAAGGTCACGAATAGTTCTCGTGGCGCATGTGGCTGACAATGTGGCCCCCAACATGAGACTCATTCCCATCTTGTCGGTAATCATGTCAATGGTTGTCTGCCAGCATGTGTGCCCTGTGACTGCCTGATGTACAGTCCTGGGTGTATTCGGTCTCCTACCAAACCTCATTTAGTTACCGGTAAAAATGGATGGCTCGATAATGTACTGCAACAAATAAATGCAATGTCTGTTGAACTTACACACTGCTCTGAAATATAGTACCGTAGTTATTTCCTTGTCCTAACACATGGAAAAAGGCATTGTGTTCACATCATCGTGACATTTATTACGAGCCAGCCATTGTGTGATGTTTAATAGCATGTGCCATTGACGTGAAGAACTTGTAAAAAACATATGGTTGTGTGTCTCACATTGCATCTTTCCGGCCCTCTTCAAGTGCCAGTCACTGTCAGCGTTTTGTATCATAGCGCAACCAGTTTCGTAGTGGTAATTGACTTTTAAATTGTCACTCCAGTGGAAGTAAATGTCGCTGCAATTTAAGCTATTGTGCTTTAAACAGACCTCGAAACATACATAATTACAAGCCAATGACTCTGTGGATTCACTGAGTGGTTAAAAAAAAAAAAAAAAAAAAATCAAACATCCCAATGATTACATCAATAACGTGTTTCTCTGTGAACCCTTCAGTGAAGGAAAACACAGCACAGGCTGCTGATCAGTCCGTCACTCCATCTTCGGTCTTTGAGCCTCTTTATCAAATGCGGTGAAGTCTCAAATGGGGTTGCAAGCGTACTCAGATCTGAGGGAAGTGAGATGCACCTCAGACTTGAAAGAGGCACATCGAAAACCTCAGGCACTTTGATGTTGAAGTGTATTTTGTGCACAAACGACTTTGGTGCTGATTTGACATATTGTGCTGTCATGGAATTTTAAGACTTCCGACTATTTATAGTGTGCAGACTAAAAGCTTGCGTGTCCATAGCAGCTCAAACAAAGACACTAACCTGTGAAACACTCTTTGGAGCGCAGGTGCTGAAAGTTGTGTAGTCTCTTCAGTGCGGTATCCATGGAAGCTGTCTGAGGGTCCTTTTCTCCTTTTTTGCTGACTTTGTGTGAAGGACGAATAGCCCCGCAGCTGATCAACAGGTGCCAGTATGTTAGAAATACTACACACAAGCGGGAATAGAAAACCTACTGGCATGACTCATCTCTGCCATATCAGCTCAGTTGACTCTCACTTAGGAGATGACAGTGCGGGTAAAGGTCCGTGAGCATCATGTTTCAAGTGGAACATCTGTACATCTAAAATGTGCAGATCATGTTTCTTTGTTTTTGTTTTTTTGCACTTAAATTGGCAAATAAATAATTTCACATACTTGTTGCCACTATGAAGTACTGTTGCGTAACAGCTCCTCTGGGTGTGATTTGATTACACATCATTCCCGTGGTTGTCAAATCCCTCAGTGACCTCTTCTTACTGCTGCTGAAGAATGAAGGAACCATTAGGTTGTTGTTATTGTTTTTGTAGTAACCCCCCTCCCCACTTTGGTAATTTTTCTCATGTGGAAGTCTACATCAAGTTCAAAATTAAATCCAACACATTCTAGACCAACACAGTGGATCTGTGGAGCCTATAAAGCTGAGATTGTGAAA